TTTATAATAATACAATCTTAGCTGTAGATGTAGGGTACTGACATCTGGTAGATCGCCCCAGCAGCTCAACTCTACACATACTGTTAATTTTCTAAAGACATTAACATAAAAGGAAAAATGTAATTTACATAATGTAAAACAATAGTAACACTCCTGTTAAAGCAGACACTTCTGTATGGTTTATTATACTTCTCGACATTTGGAATCTGTACTGACTTTTATAACATATTAAAAATAACCATATTAAGAAGAAATATGATTTTTTAAAAGTATTTTCAGTTGCTTGGATCAAGACTTTATAGGATAATATTGGACGATCTTTAAAGAAGTATTAAATCTGAAATTCATATAGTATAACACAGGATAAACAACTTTAATAAAGATTGTCAGAATTAAAGGAATTCTCACATGATTTATATTTTGTAAGTAAAGGGAAGGCTGTAAATTTAGGTCTCTTTAGAAAACACATTTATCAAGGAGGATTCTATTTCAAATATCTTCAATGTAACAATCATCTTAACTGACTTCTGGAACCAGGGATAAAACAAAGCGTAAATAATAGGATTTATAGCAGAATTAAAATATAACAACCAGCCTAGAAAACGAAGTACTAAGGAGGTCTGGTCATTATTTTCAAGAACAAGACAGCATATGTAATATGGTACCAAACAGAGAAGAAATACAATCACTAATATTCCTAATGTTTTTGCAGCTTTCCATTCAGATTTTGTGGAAATTTTATTATTCCCTCCATCTGCTGAACACATCTGCTCTGTAACAGAGCTGATTGCATGTGCATGCTTTCGAGCAACTATGAAAATCCTGAAATATAGTGTTATCATTATAGAACAAGGCAATATCAATGTAAATATTAAATCAATTATTACCCAGCTTTTAGTAGTGAAAAGCATACAGTCTCCAAGACAAATGTTCAGTTTTTCAGCACCACCAATATTTCCATTAAAATACATGAATGCCAAATTGTACAGTAGTGATAGCAGCCAATTAAGTGATATGACAGAGGATGTTATATTAACTGTGACTTTAGCAGAATAAAGTAAAGGGTAACACACAGCAAAATAGCGGTCAATAGCTATGCATGCAACATTATTAATTGAAACAGATGTGAGGAAAAAAACAAATAAGTTATAAAACATACAAAAAAAGTCACCAAAATACCAACATGTTTCTATGATTAAAATTAAACAGAAAGGCATCACAGCTGCTCCTACTAGAAAATCTGCCACAGCCAGGGAGAGCACGAGGAAGTTGGTTGGTGTGTGGAGCTGCTTGAAGTGAGAGATAGAGATGATCACCACCAGGTTTCCACACACTGTCAGCATCACCACTGCTGCTGCTGAAGTATACATCACCACATACACAGCTGCAGGTCGAACTTCTTTCAGGCAGGATGAATTGGATTCAAAGCAAAATTCAACTGCTTGTAATTCTAATAGTTCCATTGATGTGTCACTATTCAGTTTTCAAACTGGTACTGTATTGCTATAATCATGAATTTGTAATAGAATGTAGACACAGTCAGTTTCACTTGGTCTGCTTTACAGTGTCTGGCAATTCCTTGTTAGTAATGTAGCATTTATAACACCGGAGGGGTTTTGACTCCTCCTGCTGTTAGCAGGATTTGATTACATTTTTCTTGGCCTAATATTCTCTATTCTCCTGAGGTTATACAACAAAGCCAACCCCATCCCCTGTCTAAACTGTATAAAAAAATAAGAATGATAAATTATGCATTTCTCAGCAAAATTAAGATATATATGCCATATAAATATTTGCTGTTAAAAAGCAGTACATGGGAAAGGAAATGACAACATATGTATATAACAAATAATAAAAAATTGGCAGTATTTGTTAGAAACAGAAGTATAACTGCAGCCTGCTGTCAAAGATATTCACAAGAAAAAGTGGTTGAAAACAAAACATTTTTAAATTATTGGAGATCCTAACTAGTTTCATATTTGCTTTTAATGCACTAAATCTCTAGTGAATATCTAACCCATTCAGAAAATCACAAACATAAAATGCATTCAAGTTCTGTTAATGTGTGGAAGGAGACTCAATGTTTTGGCTGTGGAGTCTTCTTCAAGTGTGAGCAGGAAACCAGTTGATAATAAAGAATGGGAGAACAAAAGACAGGGTAGTTAAGAGGAAGCAGGGAGCAAGGGAGAAGGAGTATAAAATCGCAGGGAAAACTGGAGAAGAGGTGTGAAGTCAAAAGCCCTACAAGTGAATAGAGAGGGGATGAGTCTCATTGAGAGAAGGGGGAAGGTGTGATCCTAGTTTCAGGATAATTTGGGTTTCGGATGTCTTTCTGCAATAGGAGTTGAGAAACCCCTCTTCAAGAATGCAGACGGAAGGATCATTATGATCAGGGCCGTTAGAGGTGGAAACTATGGATTTGGAGCGCTCCTCACAGCCCTGACTTGTTCCCTCAAACAGTCTTCCAGTCTCCTTCCTGTCTCACCAATGTAAATAGTTGGGCATTTTCTGCAAGAGTTGCAGTAAATGAGGTTGGTGGAAATAATAGCATGATATAATTGAATGTACTTGAATGTACTGTATGTGGTATTGGATATATATTTATAGGTGATGTAGCAAATTCTGTTTCAGGGGAAAGTGCCTGGTGTGGATGATTGCTGTGGGCAGTCAGTGGAACAAGAAGGTTGCACAGATTAGGTGTAATAGAATGAGTGCTAGGATGGTACGGAAGAACCAGTGGAATGAGGTTGTGAATCCAGGAGTACCTAATTTATTTTATGATCCAAGGGCTATTTTTGGGCTGGGAGAGGGCCCCGTTAATAATGTAGGTAGGTGTTAATGAAAAAAAAAGAAAAGCCTAAAAAAAGGCTACCATCAGAACCTGGCCTGGAAGATTTTAGGCCTTGAAAGAAAGAGTTGCTGGCTGAGTTTATTAAAGCCTTAAAAGTAGTTAGAAAGTATCTTCTTAGACAGTTTCTCGAGGGAAATAGGTACTGTACATTTACAAAGATTTCACAAAGTTAACAGCACCTTTTTTATGGTAAAGTGTTTCCATCACTGTACTGGGGCATTAGGACCCCCAGACTGCAGGGTGAGCACTAAAAACTGGTAACACTAACACCTCTTCCAGCAACTCTAGTTTTCCCAGGAGGTCTCCATACCCACGTACTGGCCAGGTTCACACCTACTTAGCTTCAGTGGGTTACTGCTTTACTTTGCAGGGTGATACAGTATATCTTCTGGCAAACTTGGGGTAACAATCAATTCTACTATATTAATTATCAGAAACATGATGAAACTCAACATGTTTATTTTACAAAATGTGAAAAAGATTAAAAATAAGAAGCTCAACTTGCCCATTTGGCAGTAGGTAATTCATTGAAATGGCATGGTATTTAATTGATTAAATTTAATCATTTAACTATTTGTCCTAACACAAGATCCACAGCAAAGAGTGGGCTATTGTTTTTTGGGTGATTTGTTTTATTTGGTCAATAAAAAAAAACATAAAAACTGTAACAAAAAGCAAGATTAATTTAATAAGCCTCCCTCTGTCTCCATAGACTCTGTATACTTTAAATTGGATTAACTGGGGGTTAGTTCTTTTAGAAACATTACATATATTCTCCCACACTGCATTCCAATTAAACATTTTTTCTGTATTTAGACATTTTCTCACAATTATAACAATTTCAATGGTTTTATATGAAACTTAAACTATGTGTTTAAGTAGTGGAGACCAGCCCTTTGGATCACCCAACATCCAGTCCACTACAAGACTTATTATTATCCCAAGTAAACTCCTTTAGCTCAAAGCTCAAAAAGCAGATTCCATCCTTAAGGAATATGTCTATAAGAGTATTATTGCTACTGTTAGTCAATATATCAGAAAAAAAGTAAACCCCATGTGTTTTTGACAACAAACACAGGGCTATGTAGGTTTGGATTTTTTTTCCCTTAATAATAAAAACCTTCATTTAAAACCTGCCATTTTGTGTTTACTTGTGTTATCTTTGTCTAATATTTCAATTTGTTTGATGATCTGAAACATTTCAGTGTAACAAACATGCAAAAAAAAAAATCAGGAAGGGGGCAAACACTTTTTCACACCATTGTATATACAGTTTACATTTGTGGACCAACAAGTTATACAATTTACAATGACAGAGCCTGCTGCTAATTTGTGAGACCTGCAAATATAGCAGTCTTATGGGACTATTCCACAAAATCTAGCTAGGGCAGATCAGACACTAAATTTACTGCAACTCTGATGGATGATTCTATTAAGAAATGATTGAGTGAAATCTAGTCAATTAGTTACTGGCAACCAGAAGATCTAGAGTAAATGTTTATTCCAATGCTGAAAACAGAAGAAAAGAAACACAACATTTAGGCTGTGGAGCCTTCTTTGGGTGTCACCTGCCCGACTATTCTCTTGTCATTTTAACTCATTATGGTCTTCTCATGACAACACAGACTCTTTTACTCTCTTACTGACTTGCATTTGCCACTTAAATAGTTGCATGACTGAGGTGTATGCATTGATTGATGCAAGGGAACCAGGTGAAATTGTATTCCATGCTGAAAGGAAAAGAAAAGAGACACAATGTTTTGGCTGTGGAGCCTTCTTCAGAGACACAAAACGTACAGTATCTCTTATCTTTTCCTTTCAGCATGGAATAAACCTTTACCTGTTTATTTGCAGCATACACATGCTGATGCAGCTATGAACCTGAGCTACATTGTTTGATTGACTTCATCCATTGTTGATTTAGATAAAGTGTGTATCTACACTTTATCTATCTAAATACACCATATGACACTACTACAGGTTGTTTAAAGGCAATGCAATATGCCTTTTGATATAGCCATGGTGTGTTGACTTAGGGCAACAATACACATAAAACTGTAAGTACTGTACAGGAGAGTTAGCATCAATTGCACAAGTAGTGCATCCCTGACAGAAAAACTCATAACCTTAAGGGACCCAATAGTTTGCAATGGTCACAGGTGCCTTTCAAATAAATGATACCCTGGCTGACCACAGTAGAACACTGGTCAAATGTTTTGCAGTACCTGGACGATCCCTGTCTGTAACAAATAATAATAGAGACCAAGCTCCACTTAGCAGTATGTGAACAATAGATTCAAACATCTTTGCTTGGAGAGATTGGGGAGCTCCATATTTTGATCCATTTTGCAGATTATTGCATAAACATTAATGACTAAAGCTATAGTACATTTTGAAACAATTAACATATTCAATTCTAACAGCACTAACACATAGAGATCAGGAACTGTGGGATCAGGAGCTGATCCCTTCCTCTAAATATTTTGATGATGTATTTACCTTTTATTTACTATTTTTTATCTGTGAGTCTGAGCCCCTATTCACATTATTTTTAAAATAAATCATTTGTTTTTCTTTGTTCTATGTTGTTTTCTGTCTGCTTTTTTATTCTCAGTTTACTCTGAGGACTGTGGGCTGTTCTCTGGGCTCTTCTCATAACCCCAGAACAACAGGTGTCATTACAAACACAGAAGAGTCATCAACTCTCAAAAGCAACAGGAGGGGCCAGTAAGTATTGATATAAATGTCATATCAACATTAACAGCTTTACAGACACTGAGTAGAATGTGTGCCATTCTAGCAACTAAATCTGTCTATATCACATTTATGACTATTCTTCAAGACCTCAAAAAGCTTCACATTTTAAGTGTGGATAACATCAGACAAAATTTATTTGATTTAAAATTCAATGGAAGAGAAATTTCAAACTCTGCAGTACTGTTTTCAGGCTGACAACTCTTCCTGTCTTAAGGAAGTGCGATCTACAGCTGTGTATGTTGTGATGTATATTTTTGCAGCAGTGGTTGTTATCTTGACAGTGTGTGGAAACCTGTTGGTGATCATCTCCATTTCTCACTTCAAGCAGCTCCACACACCAACTAACTTCCTCGTGCTCTCTCTGGCTGTGGCAGACTTTGTAGCAGGAATGTCTGTGTTGCCTTTCTGCTTAATTCTTCTAATAGAATCCTGTTGGTATTTTGGGGAAATGTTCTGCATACTTTACAACACAATTAGTTATATAGTAGTTTGTGTTCCAGTTTATAATGTTGTATGTATCGCTATTGACCGGTATTTTGCTGTGTGTGACCCTTTACTTTATTCCACCAAAGTAACAGTAAGTATAGCAAGGTCTCTCATATTGTTTGTGTGGCTGTTTGCAATCCTATACAACTTGGTACTAATTTATTTTAATGGAAATTTCACTGGTACAGAAAAAACAAACGATTGTCTGGGAAACTGTTTGATTGTTATGAGTGAAACCTGGAGTGTAGCCGATATAATTATTGTATTTATTGTGCC